CGTCGCCAACGCCGGGAAACGTTCGAAACGCGGACGACGACCGACTATTTGCAAAACGAGAGCAATCCGTTTTCCCCGCGACCACGCGCCGCAACTTTATTTATGTCCCGTGTATCGACGTGCCGCGACTTTCCTCTGATACGAGACCAGCTCGTACGTGACCCAAGCTCGACACGATTTGTTGCGACTCCGCAACCGTAATTGGAAAGATAATTACCGGGGTTGCTGCCCTTCGAACAAGATAAGACGGAGGAATTGATTTCGGGGGGGGGGGGGGGGTGTTCCCAGTTGTGGATCCGTCGATTCTCCACGATGTCCGAGATACAGTAATCTTTCCCTAATTCGCACTGAGATCGCGCAAAAGAATGGACAATTTGGGAAGACGAGATACGATTATTCGAGCCTTGCGGTACGTTTTTATAGTTACCGATCGTAAACAATGAGAATAATATAGATAAAAATGAGACGCAAGGCTGGAATAATCGTCCATTTTTGTGCGCAATCCGAGCGCGAATTAGGGAGAAATTACTGTAGACCGTTTCTTTCGTGTTTCGGGACGATACAATGGAGCTTTTGTGCAATTTTCCATAGCGCGTGAAAACACGGCTATGTAACGGCTATGTGCTTCGATGTAACGCGACGCAAATATTGCGACAGTCCTTCTGTAACGTCATATTCCAACTCGGTTAATTTGTCTTCGTAACACGGCTTCTAAATAGCACGATTAACTAACCTTAGCCTGTCCCCGTGTAACAAGGAACACGCTCTCGCATTTTGCATTGTTTCTACGTTTCGCTTAGCATGCCCCGACCGTGTCGTAGGAGAGTGGAGAGTGCGCTACGCGTATTATTATGTGTCTTCCACGTAGTGTATCGCGTTTAGTAAGTTTCACTCTTTTACGAAATGGCAGGTGATACACAGCGCAGATTAATCTACAAGGTACGAGAGAGAGCCTTGAATTTTGGTTTCACGGAACGAATTACAGCCGCCTCGTGAAACTTTCGAGGTTGCCGTGTTAATACAACGTATCAAGACCTTTTGAAATTGCAATTTTAAACAAGATTATCGTGCTCCGTTTAGCCACAGTTCGGTCGTTGTAAAGCTTATTAACAGGCTTCCGGTACATTAAAGCGTTTTAAGAATAAAAATGGATCAAGAATCATTCATGTAACTGTTCCCGACGAACGTACGCGGGTTGGCCAATAGAATAAACGATTCCTTTCATTGCCGAAGTGTCTAAGATGCCGAAGAAACAATTTCGTCCGTCTACACGTCGAAAATCGTGTCGGCGATGAAACAGCGGGTCCGCGCCGAGGCTGGACTATATCCAGAAGAACGGTCAGAACTACAATGGCGGAAGGGTGCAAAGAAGAGGGAAGAAAGCAGCAAGCGTTGGTCTAGTTCCGCTCGACGACCTCGAGGCCCGCGAACTCGCAGACGCCCCCTGCTCCCAGCAAGAGAAGAGCTCAGTCGATATTCCCGCTTCGACGCGGATGCTCCGCAGCTTTATCTCGCATCCGGTGCGCACTGGGTCACCGAGAAGCGACGGAACTCCTCCCGACGCGCGGCGAGCCGGGTTCGGGAGCAAAACAAACATGAAATTTATCGCGGCGGCTCGCGGTGCCGAAGCAAAAGCAGACACGCAGACCGGCGCGTCGTTCGTTTGCCACCGGCTGCGATTGTATTTAAATTCACGTGGAATTGCCGCCATTTGTTTCGAACCGGAAGACGGGCTTTCGGCGCCAATGGATCGATAAATTTCGCCGGCGAGGAGGAAGAAGAGGGTTCGGAACGTGCCGAACGTTCTCGCGAGCGTTACGTAAAATCTATTCGCGGAAAATCGAGCCGAACGCGCGGCTCTTTCAGCGCGGAGACCGAAAAAAGAAACGAAAGGCGAGGAAGATGACGAAGAGAGCGGGAGAGAGAGAAAGAGAGAGAGAGCGAGGGAGAGGTTGGCACTCGAGCCATCTAAACGGACGGGGCCGACAGGGTCCAGGCTTCCAATTAGGGCTCGTTAGGAATGCGCTTCGAGGTCCCTCATTGGCCGTAAAGCCCGCGAGATAACGGCTCGGGCCAGCGTCTTTCGCAAACGAGCAGCCTCCTCTCGCCGGCGCTGCTCTCTCCGAGAAGGAACAGCACTTTGCAAGGGCAAATCGTTCGACGATCCGCGGTGAACCGCAAGAAAGCACGAGAATTCGCGAAAACTCGAAGGAAACGCTTGGAGACGGGATGCCACGTTGCTTCGAAAGACTCTGGTAGATCCTGGAAAATATAGAGGATTCGCCCCCATCTCGAGCCCATTAAACGACGTATCCTTGGAGAAACCACGAAAGAGCACATGATCGCACTAAAATAACAAAGCACAGTTCTGAAGCTTTATTGACGCGTTGATTGCCGCACCGATAACTTCAAAAATTTCCTAAAATTAAAGCATATCGCTGAACCAAATTAAAATTGAAAAATTAATTATTAATTTAATAATCTAATAATTAATCGCATCGATTAATTTTTCAATATCCTTATATTCCCCGGATCCCAACAAAATCAAGGAGATTTAACCCTTTGCAGGCGAATGGCGATTCTGACCACTAAAAATCGTCATATCAGGTTTCAAAATAATTTTAATATTGTCAAATTTGTTTATACTTAACATACTGTTAAAAATGTAAGCGTTGCACGTGTCGCAATATTCAATTACATACGTTTGAAAAGCACTAGATTATATGAATACTATAGAAAAATTATTTTGGATTTCGAGTTGGCTCCGATTGCAAAGAGTTGATAGATCAACGCAACAATCTATTCGAAATAATTCCGTCAGCCACATGCGGCCGACGTGGCAGTCGAAGTGTTAAATTCGAAACTATGTTTCGCTTTCTTCGCGTACCGCAGAGCTCCCAAACACGACGGGAACGGACGACGTCAATGTTCCTTTGACAGTCAAGCTGAGACCAGTTTAAAAATTGATTTCCAGTTCCGGAATGGCGCATATAGACGAAAATATTTGCGCGTTGAAGGGTTAAGTAGCTATCTCTTGCCGGCTTCGGACAAGACGAGACGAGACGAGACGAAATGCGACGAGAAGCGAAGCGACGAGACGAGACGCTTCGGTTCCCCGAGTGGCGCGCAATTAACGCGGACCCCAGGGCCGAGGGGCTGACTTTAATTAACCGGCGACTGGCTGAGACCTTAACGAACGCTTCTCAAGCGCGATGTAGGATATTGTGTCAGGAATTATGTCATTAATAACCCGGACCCCCTCCCCGTCCGGCCGATGGAGCGGGGACCGAGAAAGAACGCGAGCGAGCGCTCTATTTAACGCTAGTTTGCGAAAGTTGAATGAAACCGGGGAAGAGGCTCGTTCAGTTTCCTTTCATCCTGTTCTCGTCTCTCCGTGGGAATGACCGGCACTTGCAGCGGCTGCCATAAACAGGCAAATTGGCGTGCAGGGTACACGAGGCGCAGGATTTCCACCGATCCGTAATAGCAAACTTGTTGATCGATTCGAGAAGCAGATCCGAACGATCTTCCGACGAAGACGTCTTAACTCTGCCCACAGTGGGTACTCGATAATTGCATCCTCGGGTGATCTCGTCGGAGCTGGTTTAGTTTTCAATCATTTTACCACATCCGCTTTACAGCTGTTGCTGTCGGAGCTGGCCGATGCTTAAATAATTCGTGAACGAGAGAAAACGAAGACGACGGCACCGGATAAATCTTTACAGCCGGGTTCCGAGAACGGCGGACCCTCGAAGGGCGGACAGACTGCTCTTCGGAGCTGGTTGTCGCGACTAAGTTCAATATTTCGTCCGACCGGCTGTTGACTCTGCGATCGAGGAGCGAGTGCGTGCGCGCGGCAGCCTTCGGTAAATAATTAGCTCCGTCGAAGGCCGAGAGCCGCGCGGTAACAGGGTTCTCCACTTTGCGGGAGCCTCGGTGTTTGCGTTTTGCGAAATCCTTTGTCTCTGGGCAGGGCGGTGCGAATCGAAGACGAGTAGCTCGAAGTCGTTGCGCAACCATTTCGATAATCCGGCTCGCGTGGAGCGGAGGTTGCGTCGGGACGCCCTTTCGGGGCAGGAAATAAAGAGTCGAGAGAATCGCGGCGACGAGAAAGGGTGGAGAAGGCCGGAGGAGCGTCGGTGAAAAAAGAAGATCCGTGAGGGCGCGTCGAGAGGAAGGGGAAAGAGGGATTGAAAGAGATAGAGAGTTAAACGACGCTGTGGTCGGAGGAGAGAGAGAGAGAGAGAGAGGAAAAGTGGGGCGAGAGAGCCGGAGGAGAGCGTGCCTCGTGCACGTTAATTAAAAGTGCTGCAAAGGAAGTCGCCAACTAAGAAGGGCGAGGCTGAATGAAAACAGCTGCTGCTCGATGACGACACGGTCTAAGAGCGCGCTCGGCTTCGACTAAGCCCGCTTGACGCTCGACGGGGCGCGCGCGCGAGCGACGCCGTTAGCGCCGCTATTTTCGCGCATAAATATAAACCGACGCCCACAGCCGCATCGTCTAATTCCCTCCTCCCTCCACCGGTCTTTCTCTCGTCCTTCCAACTTCGATTTCCTGCCGCCCGACGGATACAATTCTCGTAGACGGAGGTTAACTAATCGCAAGCACTGACCGAGATTCGAGCCGGGCCAGCTCTCGTCGGAATTCGAATCCCGCTCCGGGAAGTTACACACGTGTTACACCCCGGCTCCGCGGGGCTCCAAAGTTTTCCGTGGAACCGTCAATGGTTTCGGTCGGCCGTTCGCGGCACTTCGGGGCTTCGCCGATGGGTAAGACTGCGGATTTGACGCGTTGTGCCGAAAATTCGTGGAACAGCGGAAACGTTTCTCACAATCGATTCGCGAGGTCTTCCATATCGCGCGAAGATCCGCAGTCTAGAGGAGTTAGTTTTCAGAAAATAAGAATTGGACGCTCCCGATTACGAGAGAGATCGAGTTTCGAGACTCCGCTCGGGAGCAAGCGGACGAGCACGGCGGTTTAGACTAAGGGGTCTGTGTACCTCGTGTCTTCATTTTTGCTCGTTACGATACGGTCCAGTCTGAAAGAAGAAAAATAGAAGAGCAGTCATTCCACGTGTGTCTCTTGCATAGCGTTCAATAGATCCTACGTGTCAATTCGCGGGCATAGAACTCGAGCTACCTCCGCCCCCCCCCCCCCCCCCCCCCCCCCCCCCCGCGCG